AGGCTCTGGACTCTACCACATAGAGTGCTGGGGGTAGACTTGTCCACATGCAGGACTGGGATATAAACAAATGTCACACGCAAGGCTGGGCGGGGGGTGCACTATCCTACAAACAGGACTGGGGTAGGGACTGTCCACATGCTTTATACCACAGTGAGGGTCACATGCAAGAAGGCTCTGGACTCTACCACATTTAGTGCTGGGGGTAGACTTGTCCACATGCAGGACTGGGATATAAACAAATGTCACACGCAAGGCTGGGCGGGGGGTGCACTATCCTACAAACAGGACTGGGGTAGGGACTGTCCACATGCTTTATACCACAGTGAGGGTATCACATGCAAGGCGAGGGACTAACCGACCAGGGGAATGGCCTGGCGGGGGGTGGCGTGTTGAGGGGCAGGCTCGCACTCACCTCTCCTGCCTTCTTGCCCTTGTCAATGGCATCAGCCAGCACGTAGGAGCTGGACACCCCATAGCTCAGCCACACCACCGCCGCGGGCACCATGGAGCGGAAGGCCTCCCCCACCTCATTGGCGTAGCCTGGACAGAAGGGGACATTTAATTCCGGGGAGCAGCGATGGTTCCACCAGGGGGCGCTCCAGCCCGCTGGTTCTAGCCCCAGCCTGCAACACAGAAGCTGGATGACCCTGAGACAAGGGATTGGACCTCTGAACCTGTACAACGGCCGCCCACGATGCCTACCTCAACGCTAGGGCCACTGTGGGAGAGCTGAGTGCCGTCACCGTGATCAGTCACTCGCCTGCCTTCCCAGTCTGGATTCTGGAGGCTTCTGCGCTAATGGGGGGACAGGCAGCCACAGACTGAGCTCCAGGTACCCGGCTCCAGTCAGAGCCGGGGCATGGCAGAGAAGGCAACCTGCTCACCCCACTCCCAGTTCTCCCAGTAGGGTCTAAGCTTCAATCTGGGAGACTGGACCAGCAGAGACCCGCCCCTCTCCCCTCCCCTCCCCTCTCCACCCCCCAAAGGCAGGGCTGGGCCAACCATAGCTGTGTGACCTTGGGCAAGCCCCTAACCCTCTCTGAGCCCAATCTCTGGTCTGGGCAGAATGCGAACTAAGAGGGAATCTTCCCACCTTCTCCAGGGCCCAGAACAGGCACACCGTGACCCCTGCTTCCCCAGCTACAGGGTGGGGGAGGCGCCGTGCCCCTCATGCCCCTTGCCCCCACTCTCACCCAGGTATCGCACCCACGTGTCCCGGAAAAGGTCGCGCTCAGCACCCTGCGGGGACGACTCGGACATGGCCCTTCCGCGGAGGCCCCGGCCACTGCAGCCGGTCCAGCCACCACTGCCGCTTCAGCTTCCCCAAGCCCTCCTCCGGTCCAAGGTGGCCGGACGGACTGAAGGTCCCGGACTGAAGGACGGGCAGGTCGCGCTGTCACCAAAAGCAGGGAGCGTCTGTAAATTCCCCCGCGCGCCAAAGCCCCTCTTCCAGGCTCGGATCTTACAGATCTTCTTCACGTTTTCTAGGGCTTTCGAGGGTTGGCACGATCCTCTGGCAGGACTGGCTGTGGCTCAAATGGAAGATCCTGTCCTTCCCAGCCGCACGTCAGAGCCGTGTGACCTCACGCTTCTCTGCTTCTTTGAGCCTCACTTTCTTCATGTCTTAAACGGGGTGCACCCCGGCCTTCACTCCCGGGACGAGGGTGAATAACAAGTCATCTTTGCCTGTGTTTACTGCCGGCCAGACCGTTGGCCAAAGACTAACAGCTGAAGACTTTACCGGGGAAAGACTCTATAGACAGATTACTTCCTTAAACCCTCCCATCAACCTGTGACCTCCATTTTCCAGACAAGGAAATAGAGGCTCAGAAAAGATGGGGCACTTTCCTAGGTCATACAGCGGCTACGCTGTGACGCCGGCATTGGCTCCAGGTCCTGTGCTCTTAGATTTCAGCCAGCGAGGCTGGGAGAGTGAGTGGTGAGCACCTGGTGGGATGGAGACCTGGGCTCTGAAGTCCCTTCCCGACATGGTCATTGGTCATCGGTCAGCACTGACATCTAAACTGGATCAGTATGAAAACTGGACAGAACCTCTTGGGGACAAGACCTTGAATGAATGAATGAATGAATGAATGAATGCATCATGAGGCCAGGGAAACAGGATTGTGATGCAAGAGTTTAGGGAAATGAGCAGAACAGAATGAGGGGGCTTGGGGGGCAGTGATGACTAAGGAGGGAGCTCTTCCCCCGCTGAACCTCAGTTTACCCATGTGAGCCATGAGTGCAGCTTCGTGAATCTTTTGGGGGGGGAGCCGGGGGTAGAGCAAGCAAAGACACAGCCATTAAAGACAGGCAGTCCTGGGTTCCAGTCCCAGTTGTGCCACCTATTACCTGCTGGCCACCGCTGTAAAAAACACAAAAACAAAAATACACACACAAAAAAGACTAATATTTACTGCGCGCTCACGTGTACCAGGCTCTTTTCCAAGCGCTTTGCACATATTATTTCTTTGTAAGTACAGAGGTGTGTGGTACCCAGTAGACGTTCATTAAAGAATTAGCTTTTATTATCATTAAATAACGGTTGGAAAAAATGAAGACGACTGACTCCCTCCTGAGGGTTCTCTTTTCAGCCCTGGGCGTCGCTGTCTCTGTAGGGTCGGGTTCGACAGCCTGCCCAGCGGTGACCTCTCGGGAAGCCGGGTTCGGGGCTCAAAGAGATACCCAGCCCCTGACTCACTGGCAGTGCAGGCGCAGAATTAGGAGACGGTCCCTAACACCACGTGATCGTTCCTCCCCCGCCTCCCTGCCTACTCGGGCCCACCGCGGGCACCGCGCGCTTGCCAGACCCACGTGTGTCTGCGCGCAAGAACCGCCTGGCGCCCTGCGCACCCTTAGAAACCCGAGTGGGGCGGGGCTTCCGCCCTGACCGTGAAGGCGACCAGAGCACCCTTATTGCCCTTAGCAAAGATGGCGGAAGACAGACCACCGGGTAGGCCAATCAGGAGGCGAGTTGGCCGCGGGGCGCCAGAAAGCTCACGCCAGAGAAGAGCCGGGAGTGGTTTCTGCGCATGCGCCCCGCCTACTATTGGCGGATAGATGTCGCTAAGCTCAGGGCTCTGGGTGATGCGTGAGCAGCGAAGAACGAGCCGGTAGGCATGGACTTCCACTTTCAGTGCATTGAACGTTGCTTTATTCATTGGTTAATTTTCCTAACAGAGCGTTGTAAACCAAGGTCGGGATGTCCTCCTGAGTGTTCTGAATGGGACCCATGCGGGCTCAGGGCCCACCCCCCTCCTCCTGCTCCCTCCCGCTCCGCCAGGCCAGCTCCCCAGGCTGGGCTGCCTTCTCCTGTTCTGTGCCTCTGTGCAGCCCAGGACCTGGTGGTGTGCGTTTGCAGGAGGTGGGATTGGGATAAGCGCGATGGTGGCTCGAAGGGTCCTTGCCCTCCAGCTCCTGGTCGCTGAGCGGCCCCATGGCCATCCCTGCTTGTCCCCGTGGGTGGAGGGGCCGGGGGCCTGCGAGGCTGTTTGTGGCGGCCCCCAGCCCCGGGCTCTCCCAGATGCTGGCCCTGCCCTTGGCCCCTTGCCCGGGCAGCCTCCCCGCCAGGCTCTAGGAACCCATGGCGCCCACCATTCCCCTCTCCCAGAGATGGGAACTGCCCAGGCTTTGCTCGGGCCGACAGGGAGCGGGTCGGCGAGCACCGTGGACGGCTCAGACTGGCAAATGCCCTCACAGAGTTCTACCGTCTGGATCCCACCTGTCATTTTTGTGTGGGAGGCTGGAAACCTCAGGCTCACAGGCACCCCGAGCCTCCCTTCCCTCCCCAGAGCTGGGATCCCTGGAGGTACTTCCCTCTGCTTGTTTGCATTGGAGGACAGTGGCTGGGTACCGAAGCTCACTCTCCCTGGATGCTCTGAATCAATGACAATCATCAGTAATTAAGTCGGCAGCCGTAGGGACCCCGGAGTTGCTGAAGTTCTCAAGGTGAGGGCAAGACCTGCCTGTGTACCCCTGAGTGGGAACTCTATGCCGACTGTGGGCCACCTCCTGAGACCGGGGGCAGGGAAGCCACAGGACCCCAGCCTCAGTGATAGAGGGTTTAGAAGCGCCTCTGACCCCCAGCGTAACTCTAGCAACTCCTTCTGCTGCTCATTATGATCTAAGCTTACGTATTCATTTGGTTGCAAGTTCCTCTCCCCTGCTGCTGGCTTCGCTGAAATGTTACGTTTCAGTCTCTCCCCCTTTTTTCCAGTTTCTTCCCTGCTGCCACCCCATGGGACCCCCTTCCTGTCTCAGCTGTCTCAGGTGGGTGCTGTCGGCACAGTTTTCAGGACCAACAGACTCCTTCACAGTGCCCAGCCCCTGGGGACTCCTTCGTAACTTGAAAGGCCGGGAGACCCCCTCCTGCTCTGCTCCCTCTTCCTAACTCTGAAACGAAAACTCCCCAGATTCAAGCTGAGGTCTTCCTTCTAGCCCCCAGTTCCTTTGGGCATCGGGGTGCTGGAAAAATGACTGCGACAGGGGACAGAAACTGACGGGGAGACACTGAGGGAGCCAGGCCTGCGGTGGGAGGAGGCATTACTTTGGGGTGACCGCCCCCAGCTGTTCGATCTTCTCTTCTGAAGCTTTGTCTGGAAGCAGGACCTCCACCGTGAAGCTCACCTTCTTGGCATGAAGGAAGCTGTAGGTGTTGTCAAACCGCAGGACATCTGAGGGGAGGCAGAAAACAGGGCGTTCAGGCGATGCCGCCCAAGGGCTTGGGGACAGCGATGTTTTTGCCTGAGCAAGGCCAGGTGTAGGGCCTGAGGATGATGGTAGCATGAGCAGGGGTCCTTCCCCTTCTGCAGATGCGTCTAGCTAGCTGGATGGACAAAGTGTTCCCTAGAACATGCCAAGTGCCGGGTGAGTGAGAGAGAACCACTCCTGTAAAGCTTGGAAAGAGGGCGCCCTGTAGGGTGAAATTATGTGAAAGGCCTTTTAGAGGAGTTAGAGCTTGAATTGGGCCTTGAATGTGAGGAGTAGAGCCCAGTTGGCACGGCCCAGGGATTCGAGCATCGACCTAGGAACCTGGAGGTCTCGGTTCGATTCCCGGACAGGGCACATGCCGGGGTTGCGGGCTCCATCCCCAGTGGGGGTTGTGCAGGAGGCAGCCTATCGATGATTTTCTCTCATTATTGATGTTTCTATCTGTCTCCCTCTCCCTTCCTCTCTGAAATCCATAAAAGTGAGGCGTCGAATTCATAGCAGCGATCGGTCGTGACAACAATAAGAGTCATGGTAACGATGGCTCTTTCTGTGAGTCAGCACTGGGTTGGTAATCTATACGTGTTATTTCACTGTTTCTCAAAATAACCGTGAGTTCAGCATGAGTCCTGTTTTATGTCCTATAAAAAAGGAGGTCACGGCGTCACACAGAGAGGAAGTGATGGAACTGGAATTTCCCTCTGGTCCGAACTGCTGCCTGACTCGGGCCCTGGAAAGAAAGCCCCGCCCTGTCTGTTTCTGACAAAAGGTAAACTGTGCAAACTTTTCGAAGCAGGACTGTATCCCACAGGAAGATACACGGGCAAAGACGTTCATTGCACCCCTGTTTGGGGGACTGGATGCTTGGGAAAACGCCGGTGTTCTAAGGAGAATTGCTTACAAAGTTTATACTGCAATCCATATGACGAAATACTGTTCTGATGGTACAAGAAAGGAGTTAGCCTCCTAAGAAGTGGCTGGTGGAAATGGCCACAGTTATCCTTTGGCCAAAAAGAAAAAGAAAAAAAAGCAGAACATGATGAATAGTTTGTAACGTTTGGGTTCATAGAGATATGAAAATAACTGTGGGCTTTGCTGCTCTGTCTACCTGCACCCCCAGTTCTCTTGGGTGACACTACTCGGGTGCCTGTTCCGGAAGGAGGCTTTCACATGGGGCCATACCACCCTGAACACGCCTGATCTTGTCTGCAAGGAACGTTTCTCAAACCCTGTGACAAGTGTTACAATTTCAAAATTCCTGCCAACATACACTGAATGACAGGCGTGAATGGGTACGTGTGTGCGCACGTCCTGTGTATTGGGGCAGCACGTGATGCTTGTAAAGGGACAGGACTCTGATATGTGAATAGATAAGACCTGTTCGGGGTGGTTCCCTCTGCGGAGAGGAAACGGGGCCGACCGCGTTTAACCCAACCCCCTTTTTTGGAGAGTCTGTCCCATTTCGGTCCAATAACTCCTTCGAGAGAACAGGGTATGAGAACAACACAACTAGCTCTGCCCCTTCTCCATCCTGGTCTTCTCTCACTTTTCCCAGCACAAACGAACAAACAAACTGTGCATTTAGTCCCGATACTTCCCCTGGCCCCTTCCCTGTCCCTAGATCAGGTGCATAGTTTAGACTGAGGGTACATACACCACCCTCCATCTTCGTGGTCTGAGGTGAAGGTTAGTCACTGATTCTCTCTTTGCCAGAGGCCTCTCAGGACCCCTGATCCTTCTGGAAAGAGGGGCGCTTCCTCTCGGCCCTGGATGACAAAGCCTTAGCAACCAGGGTCCGTGGTACTAGAGGAATCTTCGCGCTCTCGGACCAAGCACCATCGAGACGGCTCTGCCTCGCGTGATATTCTGCCCTCAGAAGCAGGGAGGGGCTGTTAGGAGGCCCAGGCCGAGGGAAGTGGAGTTCCTGAATTGCATGGCTCGTTTGGACACCAATCTTGTATCACAGACTCGGAGAGCCCCCAGAATCCTCCAGGGGAGCGAGGGCTCCTCAACTTTTGCTAGGGAACTGATCCTTTGCGAATCTGATGCTTTCATCCAGAGATGAAATTTGCACACCATCTCAGATCCTCTGGGGCCCATCATGGACCCTCCGGGGCAGAGGTCCCCACTGGGAAAGGTGCCAATCTGAAGAGATTGGCTGTAAGCATGCCCTCTCATGTATGTACTGAGAAATAGATATAGGGTATCTCCCCCAAAATGTATATACACTTAACCACCGACAGTTCAATGGCTGTTTCTTTCTTTACAGATTGAACCCATTGGAATTAATAATTATTCCAAAGGTGTGTAGACATTTTTGGGGACACCCTGTATTCTAAAGTAACTTCTTTTAATTTCTCCAAATAAGGAGATGATATTGATTTTTAAAAATTATCTGTGTGAGTTATTATATTTCAGGATAGTCAAGGGGACAATAAGATACTATTGTTCTAAAGGGGAGGTGTTTGTTC